GGAGAGCTGTGCAGATGCAGAGGGCAACTCTGGTGTTTCAGAGGAGTGCAGGCTTTGGTGTGTGGGGCCTGGCTTTTGCAGAGGTTTGTGCCAAACAACCTGAGCTGTACTCTTTACTGAATCTGGTTTGGAGGACAAAGGGGTCAGATTGGCTGTCCAGAAGGGACTGCAGGTTGCTGTCTGATGCACTGGCATGCATCTAAAGTGACTTGCTTCCATTCACTCTGAATTGACACTGGCCTAGGCAGGAAAAAAAGGAGGCCCAAAGAAATGAGCCACTGAGAGTGAACTTTGCAGCCATGCTGGGTTGTTACTCTATTGTTACTGCAGTGCTTGTACACCTGCGCAACCCAGGGGCTGATGAAGACAGGGTAATGTGAAGAGAGTTGTCTCTGTGAGCTGTTCTGTGGTGCCTGTGACCTGTGGAATGGGGTGAGAAGGGACAGAAAAGGAAATGGAAGGTAAGCAGGAACCTCTTTGGAGAGGCTTACAGAAAAGAAAATGGAGGGGCAGCAGGAACCTCTTTGGAGAGGCTGGGATTGAGCCTACTGGAGTCAGGAATAGAAGAGGGCTTTTAGAAAGTGAGGTCCCCTTCCACTGCTGTGACCAGACCCTTGCTCTGATGATGACATTGCTCACAATGGCATTATGCTAGACATGGGATTGTTTCCCCTTTAGCTTTTTTATAAGCTCTCAGTGACCCTGTGAGCACTAGAGTCTAATATAGAGGCATTCCCTTCAAGTGTCACAGTCCTCCCAACAACTGCTAACGCTTCTTGTTACTGTTTGGCAAGCAAGCAGATTCATCCACAAGCTTCTCTCTCTGACAGTGAAAGTACACTGCCCCACTGCCACTGTCCTACAACAGTCCCTGCCTCCTGACCCCCTTCCAGTTGTCTGTTTTCTCCCTCCCCACTGAGGTCTCATACAATCAGCCTGGTCTCTCCTCTTCTAATGTGCACCTGAATAAGATCCTCCTGCCAAAGTCCTCCACAACATTAGACCTAGAACTAAGGATTCCTGGTTGCTGGACATGCTCAGATGTTCATCCCAGCCAGAATCCTTCACTGCTTAGAGCAACTGTAGGCAACCCCCGGCACAGATTGCCTGCCCCTGTCTGCCAACCCCCAGCACAGGTGCCAAAGCATGGCACACAAAGGCATTCTGCGTGGCACATGTACCTTGGGGAAGTGGATGGGGCTGCACTGCCACAACAAGGATTGGACCCCTTGTGGCTCCCCTGCCATCCACACCTGGCAAGCCAGCATCTTACAAGTTGAAGTTGCAGGTATTTTTGGTACTCTGCCCAAAAGCATTGCCAACCCCTGGGTTTGGACAATAATCTTCAAAGCCCATGTCTCAGCTCCTTTGGAATCACTTTCTGTTCTGAGGGTTAATGCTTTTTGCTTCCAGGAATCAACTAATCAGATGTATTTGTTAGAAATACCCAACCTGTTATAGAGTGCTGATCATGCTAGGTTAAGGGCTAAATGGGTTCTTCTGGCTCAGTGAGGCAGATGGTTTGTCACCCCAGCTGGATAGGGGAGTGGTTGTCTGAGGGAGAGAAGATCTAGTGTGGGGGCTGAGCAGGTCAGAAGAAAGATTCTCAGTAGTAGCCAAGTCTGCCAAGACAGTTTGGCCTGAGCTTTGCTGTTTTTTCATTGATTATGTGGTTAAGTAAGCCAAAACCCAAGAGGGGGAGTGAGGCTGAACTGTACTTACCCCATGGAATGTGCGTCAAGAGCAGGTTGGAAAAGAACCTGCTCCCAGAGAGAGAGCTTCATTTTTTAAATAAATTTTTGTTCCTTTTACATTGGATTATCTTTGTATTATATTTTCACAGGGTCAACAACTCTCTTCTCTTCTTCCCGCCCCCCGATCCTCTTCCCTTCCCTGAAAAATCAGCTGTAACAAGTACAAAAACAATCTTTGTCCTAAAAGGGCCATTACAGTGCATCTGCTCACATAGACACAAATCAGAGGTTTGGCCCAGACCAGTTCCCTTGAGTCAGGCATCCCAGATTTTGGAAAAAATTGGACCCAGTTTAGAATTTCCAGTCTCATCTGTTTCCATAATGGATCAAACCAAAGCCCACGTACAAATCCCTTCCCCCAGCCCCAGTTTATCTGGAAAAATCCAGATCAGCACCTGCAATTTGCACTTCAGGCTTATTACAAGTACAAAGACTCTGTAGAGTGAACCAGTCACATCACATGACGGGCAGGAACCAAGCTCCCATCTCTTTCAGGTTATAAATATCACAGTAATAAAAGGTAAAATCATTAATGCTGCTCAGCAACCCACTGTGTCTAATCTGAAATCAGAACGATCAAATGAGCTTAGCCTGGTTGCTATTAATATCCTGCTTTATGATGGCTTCATAAACATAATCATCCAAGTCACCACTTGCTGTATCTTCATCTGCAGAGCATCATTTTGTCATGACCTTCCAGGCACATGGCACATTCTTTATCATGTGCACCCTTATTTGATATGATAGCTCACCAAAGAAATGACCTGAATACAGAATCAGTTAATATCCAGCACCTACCTATATTTCTCTGTTCATACTTGTGAGTAGGGAACCAAGAAGATGCACCTAACATAGTTATGCTGAATACTCGACAGGCTTAATTCTGCTCTCAGTGAAATCAGTGGGAGTCTTGCTATTGATTGCAATGGGAGCAGGATCAGACCACTAAGTTGTAGCTGAGAACATAACAGGATTTGTTTATGAAGGACCTCATCCTGAGGTACTTACTTAGGCAAAACACACATTGAAAATAGAAAAGGAATTGCCTAAGTAAAGCACATGTAAAGACTCTAGAAACCAGCGCAACAGAGATTTTCCCATAATTAAATGATTCCTCACAATCCAAGATGAAGAAAGATGGTGGATTTCTGTGTATACATCCCAGCCATTAGTTACATATTGATCACATGTATTAAAAATGGTTCAGAGTGAGAAAAGACATTTTTGCTTCACTAGTCTGGCCTATAGGTAAAAAAACTGAGATATGGGTAATACACTAAAATGTACTGGTAAGTGAGGGCTTACTGGAGTTTATAATGGACAGAATAATGATTGATCTTAAGATAATTAACATTTTGGCCTGCGTGTTAGTAGAAATTGGCACTCCTTAGGTTGTTTTTGGTTTCAGATGGCATAATTTGTTTGGCTAAAGCAGTGGTTCTCAACCTTTTTTTATTTAAGGTACCCCTTGTTAAACTCAAGGCACCTGTCATAAAATACCAGCTCTTGGTTTTCATTCATTTTTTGACTACAGAAAAATACTAGAACAATTCTTCTGTTGCAGAGAGCTCAGAAAAACCACAACAGGTCAAAAATGTGTTCAACACTCTGGATTCCTATTTGAAATCGTTGAGTTTAACTTGTTGTGGTAACACATAAAAGTATTAATTTTGCATAGCACCTAGCAGCACCCTTAAAGGATCTCATGGAACTTCAGGGTGCTCTGACATCCAGGTTGAGACTAGCTGAGCTAGAGAAAGGGAAGGAGCCTCTACACAGTACCTAGCTCACACTGAGCAGGAGCTAGGGAGGGGTTGTCACCACTGTAAGGGTGAATAACAAACATTTGAAAAATGAAATTGTAACTGATTCAGCTCCTGAATTATCCTGATGGTCAGCACAAGGTGTATGTATTGCTCATTTGTTTATCTGCATTACCATTTATCTGTAGCACCTAAAGACTGCAGCTAGCAGCTCCCATCTTCATGCCAGGCACCAAACAAACACAGAGCAAGAGGTGTCCCTGTGCATTGCACTGTTTTTAATTGTTAATGCTTTTTTATGGACACTTGCCTAAGCCTCTTTGAGTCCTGTCCTTATAGGAAAGTAGTAGAGAAATGGACAAAAGGGGCTGTTCTCTTTAGCCCAGTTTGGCTTGCAAGGCAGTCAGACAAGAATGCAAGCTTTTAGCAGATATTTGACTGGAATCTCAGAACATTTTTCCTGCACTCAGCACCCTATCGCTGCTTTAGAACTTTTTCAGATTCGTGGACTTGCGACTGAAATGAAATGAAATTCATTAACTTCCAGGCTGTTTATATTCTGCTTCCACGTGAGTGGAAACAACTAGTCAGTAAAAATGTATCTTTGGGGATATGGTGGTTTTGCTCTGAGATCCTTTATTGTTGCTTCTCAGCAGGGTAAATCAGCCCATGCTGAGCTGTGTGCTGCTATAGCTGGATCGCCTGCCAGTACCCATCCTCCCTAATTTAAAACCAGCTTGGGCTTGTCTACACTACAGCTGTGAATGCTTCCACGTCTGTGCTGGAGACATTCCCTAAGCAAACAAATGCGCTGTACTTTGCACACAGCAGATGAGTTAGGGTTTACTTGCAGTGGCAGAGCCTTGGTTTAGTTAACTGAAGGGGACTCCTGGGCCTGAATATTGTTGCTTTTGGAGGTGTAAACCAGGAACCATTCCACAGGAGTCAGTGGCATAAGAGTAAGTCAGTGGTGTAGCAGGAAGGGCGAGGGATGCAGCACCGCTGTAGATAGATCCATCAGTACTTGCACATGGATTCTCAGTGGGCAGAGGCTTCAATAGTGTTCTATGGGGCCTAACCTCTTTTGTCACTGAAAACAAAGGGAGCTGAATTAGGCTGACACAGAGAGACTTGAAAGTCTCACCCAAGTGCTACTTTGTGTGTGTGAAGGAAGGATGGTCATGTGACCAGAGCACTGGATGAGGACCCAGCCAGTCAGGTGCAGATTCTTGCCCTGCCATGGCCTTCCTGTGTGGCACTGGGCAAGTCACTGCCACTCCCTGCATCCGACTTCTGTAAAATGGGGTGGTGTGAAGATACATTCACTGAGGTGAAGGCAGCTCTTTTATGCGGTGATGACAGGGCCCAGAAAGGCACCACTGACCTTTCCAGGGTTGGTTTGAGACTAGGCCTCCTCCCAGTCCTGCCTCTGCTTCCATTACTTGCCAGTTAACTTGCTTTTGCTTGTCCCCCTGTTTGCTAGGTCTTCCTCACCTAAAATGACACAGCAGATGAGGGACCTCCAGCTGGCCCAAGCCAGGAAGCCCCCAGGCCCCTCCTCCCCCAATGCTGCCAAGAGACTTTACCGCAACCTTTCAGGGAAGTTCCGCGTCAACTACACGTCATTCGATGAGGGCAGCTTGGTGGGGAAGAGCGAGAAGGAAAAGCTGCGCAAGTCCTACCTTGTGAGTGCCCTGGGTGGAACTGTGCTGTGTGCCAGCTCTAGGACAGATAATGCACAAGCTGAAACACCCTTATGCTAGCATTATGCTGGCTTTACATCCATATGAGACCAGTGGTGACAGAGTGGAGTGCTGAGGGGGCAGGGTCAGAGCTAGCCTCTGTCTTTCATGCCCACTCATGCTGGCAGCATCGCTGGCTGGAAGCACAGAGTATGTCAGCTTCCCCCTATCCAAGGTTACATGAAATTATTTCTCCCCAGTGCAGGTGTATGTGGCATGATAAATCTGACCCTATGGCCAGGGACCATGGCCTTAGTCTTTGTCAGCAGCACCTCACACAGTGAAGTCCTGGTCCATGGATGAGGCTCCTGGGTGCTGTCACTACAATGCAAACACTAGACAGTGTTCACTGCCAGCCTAGAAACCAGATGGTCCCACTTGTATTCTGTGCATTATGTTATGCCTGTCAGGCATCAGTAATGCAGCCCTTTTGTTAGAGCTACTGTAATGGCAAGGATTAGCCTTGGGGTAACATCACAGCTGCCCTTAAGGAGCCTGGTTTCTGGGTAAGCATAGGGCTTGGCTGTCCCAGCCCATCTACCCAGCCTGAATATACTGTGAAGCTCTTGCATATTTGATTGCAACAAAGCCCAGCAAAATATTGGTGAGGGAGGAGGGAGCAGTTGTGATGTCCAGTCCGCCCAGCTCAGGAGACCTGATTTCTTGTGTCATTGCAGTTTCAAGGCAATGCTGCTCTCTTTGAGGCTGTTGAACTGCAGGATCTGGACAGAGTACAAGAGCTGCTGAAGCAGTACAGCCCAGAGGAGCTGGACCTTAACACCCCTAACAGTGAGGGGCTCCTGCCATTGGATATTGCCATCATGACCAACAATGCACCCATCGCCAGAACCCTGCTTCAGGCCGGGGCCAAGGAGAGTCCACACTGTAAGTTGCCATTGCAGGGCATGTGTCACCACCTTTCTCCAGTTTGCTCCCCTGTTTCTCCAGCTGTCTGTCATAGGGTCCTACAAGAGCTCCACTTGCCAGAGTTTCTAGGAGCTGTTGTGTTTAGGTCAGTATCTCCTTCCCCATGAGAATTCCACCCTACTGTGCTGAAAGTAGAGAAGAAGGCAGCAGCTGAGGACCTGCAAGGGCAGGTGTAAGAAGAGGCACAAAGCAGGCAGCAGGTGTAAGAAGAGGCACAAAGGGAGAAGTAAGGAATTCTGAGGGTTATCAAGAAGGCAGATGCCAGGAAATTGTTGCCATGGGGTAGTTCATGACCCTATATCCAATGGCAACTTCTTAAGCCAGGAGTGAACTAGATAGCAAGAGAAATCAGGAGACATTTCTGTATGGCCAGGTGCATCAGTATGTGGAATGGACAACCAAGGGCATCCAAAGAGTCTGGGACTATGAGTATAAAGTCTTATGCTTTGTAAAGAAAGAATGAGGGAATGCGTATTGAGCAGTGCATTGGGGAGACCAAACGAGGAGGTCTGTGTGCACTCAGTTGCCCTCCTGACACTGGCAGTGCATGATCTCTTAAAGTGCCTCCTTCCAGTGCTTGCTGCTTGCTGGCTGCAGCCATATTGGCCTGTTTGGTTAGGGGTAAAGAGGACTGGCCTGAACAGAGAAGGTGGGAAATCATTGATTCTAGAGTGAGCTTGTGATCACTGCTAGCAGTAGAAACTGTAAGTGAAGATTTCTTGGATGATTTGCCTAGCATGGAGTGAAGTGAGCTGAGTATCCTCAAAAAAGCCATGAGTACTTTGTCCATTACAGCATGGAAATTGGGTTCCAATTGTTTAGATGAAGCCATTTACTTTAATCTGTACATAGAAATCCACCTATACAGGAGAGCCTTGCATCTCTGCAGGGGTTACATTATCTGACCCTTGCGAAACCTTCCATCCCTGCAATTCTGACTTTGAGTGTCTATGGTTAGCCTTGATCACCCATCCCTTGAGTCGGGTTTGCAGTCCACTGTGAGCCAAGAAGCTGTGCTCTGTTTGTATAAGGAGTGTGCACTTGCATACAGCAGATTATGGGCCTAGTAGATGAATGGCACAATAGAATGATAGAAGACAATGGCCAATGGCAAGGGCTTCAGATGGAGATGCTGGGTTTTTTGTACTTCTGTGGAGCAATCTGTACTTCTAGGGGCGATCTGGTGGCCACCTATAAGTTTATTAGGGGTGTTCACCAGGATCTGGAGGAACGTCTGTTCACCAGAGCACCCCAAGGGATGACAAGATCAAATGGTCACAAACTCCTCTGCGACCGTTTCAGGCTGGACATAAGGAAGAACTTCTTTACTGTCTGAGCCCCCAAGGTTTGGAATAGACTGCCACCAGAGGTGGTTCAAGCATCCACTTTGAATGCCTTCAAGACACTTTTGGATATTTATCTTGCTGAGATCCTATGATCCCTTCTGACTTCCTGCCCCTGGGCAGGGGGCTGGACTCGATGATCCTCTGGGGTCCCTTCCAGCCTGAATGTCTATGTCTATGACATCTATGAAAAGGAAACCAGCAGACTCCCCCTGGGCTGGGTGGACTGGGTTTAGAGTAGCTTTGAATATCATTCCTTGGACATAAACAAAAAAAGCACAAAAGAAGCAACCAAGGAAAAGATTCACTATTGACTGATTGAAAGATCCTGCTAGAAGGACTCATCTCTAGCAGAGTCTCAGTGAGAAACTCTCCAACCTCCTTGATGATCTTGATACATCTGATCACTGAGAGAGCATCAAAAAAAGCATCCGCAAGGCAGGTGAAGAATCCCTAGGCTTCTCCACAAAGAAAGTTCAGGATTGTTTTGATGAGAGTGATAGGGAAATTCAAGCTCTTAGTGACAGAAAAAGGAGACCCTTCAGGGCTTGGCAGAATGACATCAGCTCCAAACAGAAGCAAGACATGTATCACCACATTAAAGCCAAGACCCAGAGGAAAATTTAAGAGTGAAAGAACAAGTGGTTGGAGGACAAAGTGAGAGAGATTCAGAAGTTTGCAACAGTCATGGTATGTGTAGTTTCTTCAGCACGACCAAAACTATCTATGGGCCAAGGATGCAAGGAGCTGCCCGTCAAGGTCCAAGGATGAAACAACACTCTTTAAAGACATTTCCATCACCAATGTGAGGTGGAAGGAGCACTTTAAAGAGCTCTTAGACCAGAATCCTAATGTTGAATACAATACCATCAAAATCATTCCACAGTATCCTATTAATTACTCCTTGCAGATCCACCAACTTATCAAGAGCCGTTAAGCAGATGAAGAACAACAAAACACATGGCCACGATGGAATTGCAGCTGAAATTTATAAGCAAGATGGAAAAGAGCTCTCTCATCAACTCCATGCTGTTATTATGAAAGTTTGGAAATGTGAACAGATTCCCAGGGACTTGACAGACACCAGAATAATTACCATATTCAAGAAAGGAAATAGATTGGATTGCAACAGCTATCATAATATTGCAGTCCTGTCCATAGTTGGGAAGGGCCTCACTTGCATCCTCCTCAACAGACTCACTTTCCTCACCGAGGAGATTCTACCCAAGTCCCAATGTGGTTTCAGATCACTTAGACATAACAATAGTTACGATCTTTCTTGCTGGAGGCAGTTGCAGGAGAATTACCACAAGCAGTACTGAAATCTTTACATAGTCTTCATTGATCAAAGGCCTTTGATTCAATCAATAGAAAAGCTGTATGGAAGATCCAAAATTTGTTACCATCATCAGACTTCTCGATCTTAAGCAATCCCTCGGAAAGGGCCCCCTTCACTATTAGACCTGAAATCAAGCAAGGGTGTGTAATTGTACCAGAACTCTTCCCCATCCATATCACAACTATTCTGCATCTCATTGCTGACAGACTTACATCTGGAGTCAGCATCCAATATTACATGGATAGGAATCTCTTGAATATGAACTGGTTACGTTCCAAATGCAAGATAACCAACACTTCCATTACTGATCATCAGTACACTGATGATTGTGTTGTGCATGCCCACTCAGGCCCTTGTTAGTAGAAACAATGGCCATAAACTGAAAGAGAGCAGATTTAGATTGGACATCAGGAAGAAATTCTTTATGGTGAGGGTTGCCAAAATATGGAATAGGCTTCCAAGGGAGGTGGTGCTTTTCCCTACCTTGGAGGTGTTTAAAAGGAGATTAGACAAGCACCTGGCTGGGGTCACTTGACTCTTTCCTGCCCAGAGCAGGGGGTCAGACTCAATGATCTAATAGGTCCCTTCTGACCCTAGAAATTCATGAAATCAGTTGAAGAACTCCAGATCACTCTTGATTGCTTCTGGTAAGCATATAGAGTGTTTGGACTCTCTGTCAACTTCATGAAAACCAAGGTACTATACCTAACCACCCCAAACCAGCCAGATGCTCCTCCGCATACTATAGTTAGAGGGCAATTCTTGGAGAATCTTGAGCATTTACCTTAGCTGGGTAGCCACCTTTCCCAAAAAAGTATATATAGATGACAAAGTCAACACTGGATAAAATCTGCCAGTTCTGCCTTTGGATGTCTCTGAAATCATGTCTTCAATCATCATGACATAGGACCCAAACTAAACGTCTTGTCTACCAGGCTGCTGTCATTCCTACCGTGTTGTAAAACTTGGATGACCTGTCAGAAATACTTGTAAGCTTTGCAGGTTTACCATCAGTGATGTCTTTGGAAAATCCTCTGACCCAGCTCAGTGTGCTGTGGTCATTGTGCAATATGCACCAGAGTTTCTTGCTCTGTGCTAATAGCATATATGTGCCCACTGATGGTCAAATGCAATTTTAACATCAGTATCTGGGAGTCTCAAGCACTGAATAATCCCTGATGGCACTGTGATACCTGGCACTTCTGATCACTCATGTTGAACAAACTTGCCTCACTATGGAGGCAGGTAGACAAGAGCAACAAAAGTAAAGAGCTGTGACCCAACATCACCAGGATTCCCCCCTCCTCCCACAACTATCTGCCACATCTGCAGTTGAACATACAGATCTCAGATCAGCCTCCTCAGTCATCTACAGACTCACTGACCAATGCCCCTTAACTACAAGATTGTCACCCCTGTATCAAGGGACGGCCACCAGTGCCAGTATAACTAAGTCTCTTGCACAGGTGGGAGGACTGAAAGCAGGTTGGACTCCAACCAAAGTAATCTGTTCGGCTTTATGGATGACACTTGTCATGCAGTGGCCCCTCTTCTTAGAAGCAGGAAATACCAAGCAGCAAGAATGGGGGCTGTCTCTATGTTCTAAGGTTGGAAAGAGGAGGATTTGTTACAATTATTCAAACAGATAAAGCGACTGCCACTTATCCTGTAGTGTGGGATAGTCCAGGACTGACATAGTGGTTAGGAATGGGCAAACCTCGAGGTCTGGACAACAGATCAATGCTGTTCAGGTGCCTGAGATGATCATTTCTGTCCTAATGGTTGGAGGAGCTGTCTCAGAGTTGCCTGTCCTCACAAATGGCAAGTGCATGAGAACAGACAGAAATTTCCATGCTCTGAAAAGGTTTACTTTGGATTCAGCAGCCAACTTTTACAGCCTGTGGGAAGGCTGTGGTGGCCACTGTGATGAAAGATGATTGCAGTACCAATAGGGGATTGCTTGCATTGAGCCCCAAGGAGCAGCACTATACCAAGAGACAAGGATAGGGAATAGGGCCCAGCCAGGAGGTCTGTCACTACATGGATCTTCTGATTGAGGGCTTACAGTAGTGGCTATGGTGCAGCTCTGTGTCCTGTCTTGGAAGAATCCACCTCTCCCAAACCATCATGAAAGCCCACTCGCTCCAGTTCTATACACGGGAGCAGGGACTCAGTCCTGCTTCACCTGGGATCCTTTTTTCATTATGAATCATTGCTACCCATTTATGATGCTGCTGGGAGGAAGGAAAACAGGCAGGGTTCCTGACTGAGGTATCACTGGATAGGAGAGACAAGGGCATAAGGCACAGCATAGAATCTGGGGCTGATGGGGGACTGTGTAACATCGGCTGTACCTAACTGCCCTGTCTTCTTTTCCCCTTGCTTTCCTGCTCACGGTGTCTACATGATTCCCATGGCCCACCCCCAGTCATGAGCTTGGAGAGCCGTGCCCTTCACCTGTCAACACTGGTACGGGAGGCAGAACAGCGAGTCAACGAGCTCACGGCTCAAGTGGTGAACGAAGCCCCCAACACCGACTGCTCTGAGAAGGAGAAGCAGCTGAAGGCCTGGGAATGGCGCTACCGGTTGTACAAGCGCATGAAAGCTGGGTTTGAGCATGCACGTGAGTTCCCGTAGAGCCTGTGTATGGCATGGGAAGTGGGACAGGTGTGGGACAGGTGCCCAACTATGAGGAAGTGGCACAGTGGGGAATGGGCTGGGATAAATGATGGTGCCCACAAGAGGATTGACAGCTGCCCCACAAGGCTGCCTGCCACCTTGGCTCCCTGTAACTAGACATTCCTGAACCTGGTTCTGTGCTTTCTATCCTCAGGTGTGCCAGACCCACCAGCTAACGTTCACCTCTCCGTGGCCAGTAGCACTTCTGTGCAGGTTACCTTCTGGGAGCCCCTCAGTGTGAACTCAGCAGTTGTCACCAAGTACAAAGGTAAGGGCCTCAGAGCACCCAGTATAGAGTACGTGGGGCCAGGTATAGAAGGCAAGCTCCTCCCAGGAGTAGGAAGGAGGCCTGGCCTAGAGCAGAGGGTGCCAGTCAAAGCCAGAGACATTGGCCTGCACTTCCTAGCCCAACCAATGACTGTGACTCCAGCTGAGTCATTTCCCTTCTCCAGGCTTGTTTTCCCCTTTGTCAAATGGTAGTGAGACTCGAGTGCTTCAATACCACTAGGCATTGTGGTGGCAGAAAAAGCTAGGCATTGTGATGGCAGAACTCATGTGAGTCCATGGCAGCCTAATGAGCCTGTCTGTTGCAGGGAGTTATGGATTCTCTTTTTTCTCTGTTTCTTTGACAGCTTTTGATAAGGGATACAATTTCTCCAGGACTCTCCTTGGTGGCCTTTTATGTTGTCATGTTAGATACTGGCCAAAAAGTACGATTATCCATCTGTAGATATGTTATCAAGACCATGTCGTGGGGTTGTCTTGGATTCCAGTTCAGCAGCAGTCCAGTTCAGGACCTGGACACCTGGAAACCTCATAAAGTTTCTCTGCATATCTGAACTTTGCAGTTGGTCCCTTTTCTCCACGAGCTTACTCAGGGTTTCCCCAGACCCGGGGACCAGTTTGGTCCAGAGCCAAGCATTATGATCCGGTCTTTTCTCCAGACTGATGCCTGGATCCCACAGGAATGAGGTTCATTTGGCACTAGCACCTGCTCCTACAAAACCATTTCCATCTAAATCCAGCATGTCCTGTAGTATCTTTGGCTTTCACAAGAATTTTCCTTTACAAGGCACGACAAATCCTGACAATCTACTTGGTCTGTTCCTCACTTTCTGTCTCTTGCATTTGCCTTTGTCTGGTCCATCTGTATGTCTCTTTTTCTCTCCAGGCTCATCTGTCTTTTCTGCCCGTCTGCCTGTTCATCTTTTTCCATGACAGCACTGTGTCTGCTATGGCAAGAAACACAGTTGAGTAGCAGCCCTGGTCATGGGACTCCTGCATTCGTGTGGGGATTGGGGGGTCTCCATGCAGTCATCTCTCATTCCAGTTCACCCCTTCTTCCCCAGCACCATGGGGCCTGTTCTCAGACATGTTTTCTAGCATACACATCTGGTCTTGCTGTATCCGGTTCTTTGGTTTCAGTGTCAACCCCACTGCAGCAGCTGTGCCATCCCTAGCAGACTAGCGCTCTAATCTATCCCTGTCAGCCTGTCAAGCACTACAGCCCTCCCCTTGTTGATTAAAGCCTCCCAATTACCAACAATGCCATTGCGCTTGTTTTGTTTGCAGTGGAGTGGAGCTGCTCCCCAACCTTCTCCCCGCCTCTGGGGGAGGCTGTGATCGACAAGCTGAGGAACCTGCACTTCACCATCCGGGGGCTGGTGTCGGTGAGTTCATGTGGCACCACCTTCTCTCTCTCTCTGGGCCATGGCTCTGTCAGGGGGGCAGACAGAAGCCAGTCCTCAGGCCAAGCCCCTCAGCAGTGATCTTCTGCCCAAAGGGAAGCAGTGCCAGAGTTATGTGAGGACAGCTCAGCAGAGCCATTGCCTTTTCTTCAGCTGGCATTGCCACACCCTTGTCCCACTGCACCCACACCCAGGGCTGGTGTCCACTAAGAGTGACATTCATTCAGGTGCAGAGCTCAGTACTGAGGTGAATTTTATCCATAATTAATCTCAGGGAGGAGGGGAAGCATCGCTACCCCAAACCATGCAAGCTTTGGGAGGGGAAACACACACCATGCCACAGCACCCAGGGCCAGGTCTTGAGCCAGGGAACTGCTTACAGCCCCAAGTAGTGGTGTGACAGATGCCTTCTATCAGCATCCTGCACAAAGCTGTTTTGTGATCAGTTTGGGGCCACATTTTCCAGGGAGAGGCCAGCAGGTGGTCTTGAATGCTGGGCTCAGATCTGGGCACTCATATCTCTGATTCCCCTCCATCTGGTTGCCATGGGCAAGAGTATCTACAGATAATAAGTCTAGACCTCTGTCTGCAGCTATACATGTTCATAGTGCCTCTTACAGAGAAACAAGGCAAAGGCAAAGTCAAAGGAGTGCTTAAAAGATAAGAAACAGGATCACACAGTCTTGGACACATGTGTGCTCACGCTGTGAACACACAGTGATGTTCCCAGCTTGGCGTGGCTAGTTGCAGGGCAGAGGAGTAGACCCTGTGGCAGTGTGTGCCAGGAAGATCGTTATTCCATCCTGGGACCACTTTGGCTTCTGTGTTCCCCATCCCTTCCAGATTAACACACTGATAGCCTAGGGCTAGGTTCAGCACGTCTTCCAAAATCACTTAAAACTTCATGTGATTGATGCCCTATGCTGTATATAGGCTTATGGACTCAGAATACCAAGGGAAGATTGTATTTTGGGCACAATGTAGCCCAGGGCTAAGTTCAGGCCCCCTGATGCTGGAGGTAATTGCAACTGTGTTGAACCTGTAAGCCAACACTGGTTGGCTTAACCTGTGTTCTCTTCTGTGATAAACCAATACAGTCCCCAGAAAGGCCTCAGACTCTGCAAAGATCATAATAATGCAAAAAGTGTTGCCAGCTCCATAACCCCTAGAAGGCTTTTGGTCATCAGATAAGGGGTAGCACTGTTCAAGAAGGGGGCATGGCCAGGGCAGCCAGGGTGCAATCAGGGTCAAGTTTTCCCCTGGATATCCATGCAACCACCCTTATTGTAAGGACAGGGCTCTGGATCAGGGAGTGCCCTGAATACTATGACCCCTTCTACCCAAGTCCTGTGCCTACCTTTTGGTGTTTACTATGCAGATTACAGATTGGTGGAGGTGATATATCCCACTCTAAATCACACCCAGAAGGAAGGCATAGCTCATCTTGGTGCACTGGAGAGAGGGCAGTCGCCATCATCACTCTGTGTGTGACATTTTCTGTATGGCTCCAAATCTCCATGAGAAGATCAGTCTTTGTGAGACAGGAGGGTGGCGTCTGTCCTCAGCTGCACAGCCTTGACTGCCTTTGCAGGGGAGGGCACAGGGAGAAGGGAATCTCCAGGCCTGCAGGATGTACATGACTTTCTCAGGCAAGAGGGAAAATAGGTTCATTCAACGAGCATCTGATTTATCCTGTCCCCCACTTTGCTCCTGTCTCCATCCATGCTCCCCCTAGCCCATAAATCAGGGGCTAGTTCCACTGCCACCTGCAAAGATCAAACCCTCTCACCAGTTCCGTAGCTAATTGGAGATGAGATTCAGCCTCTGTTTCCAATGCCGAGAGCTTAGTAAGGTCATGGGCTGGTTTGGGCCAGGGCTTCCTGCTGTTTTATCTCTCTGAGAACCACAGGGCCCGCGCTGCCTGTCAGCTGTCTCCTTCCCATTGTGCTGTGGATCAGTTCCAAGAGCATGAACAGGAGCTGGGGCTTGTGCGCAAATGCTTTGCTTGACAACAGGTTTTGTCTGTGGAAGATGGGGCTGTTGCTTGAAAGCTTATGCCCCAAGGTCTCCAACCCACACCCCAGTCAGTGCACAGCATTCCTAGTTGGAACAGGTCTCAGGAGGCAGAAAGGCTCTAGGGCAGTGGTCCCCAACTGGCCAATCCCGATTGACCAGTCCATCTTGGAGCCTCTTTTAGTCAATCCTGGGGGGCTGGGTATGTGTGCACGCCCCCCTCCACAGCCCAGCAGGTCAGTCTTGGGGAGGGAAGAAGTGGGAGCCAGATTGAGGGCCCCGCGGTGAGGGAGGGATGGTGTGGCCCAGCCAGGAGCAGAGGAAGATAAGTGGGGCCCCAGCCCTGCCGGAGTGGTGGAAGGAATGGAGCCATGGGGGGGCTCCTGCCACTAGGAGCACCAGGGCAGAGGCTCTGGGGGCATGTGCCCCCCCATCTCTATGTGGGGCAGAGGTGGCTGCCACTGCAGCTGGCCACATGCAGGCGCTGCTCAGCCCAGTGACAGGATGCACGTGGCATCCGGCCGCTCCCAAGCCAGCTGCACCAGGGCTCAGGGCTCAAAGCCCAGCCCACAATGGCAGCTGCCTCCACTGCACACAGAGTGGGGAGGCACGGGTCCCACCCCCAAACACGGGACAACGTGGGTGGCTGCAGCAGAGGCAAGGGAGAGAGTGGGGCTGGAGCAGGGGCAGGCCCTGCAGCCGGGGCGGGGCAGGATGGAGCTGTGAGTGGCTTGTCCAGGGGCTGTGGGGAGCGGGGGGCATGCACCCTGGAGGGCATGTGAGGCACGTGCTTGTGGCTCTGCCTGCAGGGCAGGGCAGGCTGCAGCTGTGGGCTGGGCTGTTCCTGGCAGGGGGCTGGCCCGTGCTGCACTTTGGCCAGGCAGTGGTGGCAGCGTTGCTGGGAGCAGGGCTGCAGCCACCTGAAAATTCACTGTAGCCCCACCAACCCCTACTTCCAGCGCTGCCACCTCCCAACCCAAGCACAGCCCAGCCCAGCCTCCAAACCTCAGCCTGCAGTGGCAGCCACCCCACCCCGCCCAGTGCAGATCCCGGGCACATGGCCCCCATGCCCTTGTGGGGGTGGGGAGGAGGAAGGCTGCGCCAGGCTGTTCCCGGTGGGGTGGCTGGCTCGCAGTGCGCTCGGGGCAGGCCGCAGCAGTGCAGGGAGCAGGGGTTGGTGGGGGCTACAGCGAATTTTCAGGTGGCTGCAGCCCCGCTCCCTGCACCGCTGCCGCCCATCCCAAGCACAGCATTCACCAGCCCCTCTGCCAGGAACAGCCCCGCCCCAACCCACAGCTGCATTCTGCCCCTCCCCACCCCACATGCAGATCCAGGGGCATGTGCCCCTTGAGCCCTCCCGGGGTGTGTGTCCCCCCACTTCCCCGAGCCCCCCAGATGAGCCCCTCGAGGCTCTGTCCTGCCACACCCCAGCTGCAGGGCCTCCCCCTGCTCCTGCCCCACTCCCTCCCTCACCGCCACTGGTGGGGAGGCAGATCGAAGCCCCAGTGGTGAGGGAGGGAGTGGGGCTAGGGCTGGTAACTCAATCTGCCCTGCCCCCCCTCCCACAGCCCTTTCTCCTCCCCCCACCTTTTCCTCTGTCCTGCTGGGGGGGCATGCCCCCAAATAATTTATTCTCCCTGTCTTGATCTGACCCCCCTCCCCCCCCTTCCCTCCCCACAGACTTACCTGCTGGGTGGGGGGGGAGGGGAGGGGAGGGGGTGGCAGTAGATGTTGGGTTGTTTTTAAATTCCAAAAGTGATTTCCTACTTAAAAAGCTTGGAGACCACTGCTCTGGGGACTCCTTAGCAGGCATGCAGAGAATGTGGGAAGGGCTCCTCACTGGCTGGAAGAAACCTTTCTTGTTGGAAGAAGCTTCCCAGTAAGAGATTGAGACTGAGCTAGAGGAGCAAAAGTAAGATGCAGGGGCTGATAAGGATCTAGAGGCAGGGGCTGAGAAGGATCTAGCCATGTAAGATAAACCAGCATATATCAAGTTCTTGTGTCTTCCTTTCCCCTCTAGCAGGTTGGTTTTTCACTTGCCCTAGAGTACAAATGAGACAAGGGAGAAGGTCACCCCTAGGGAGCCCTGGGAAAGTTGATCGTCTTCCAAAATCACTTATAACCCCATGTGATTGATCCCCTCTGCTGCATACAGCCTGCTGGACTCAGAATACCAAGAGAAGATGCACACCAGTGTTGGGATGCACCTACCGAGTCAGATGGGGGCATGGGGCAGGCACTGCAGGAAAACCTGGAGAGCAACTGTCTGAGTTAGGTAGAAGATGCAAGACTAAAGCTCCAGGGCAGGGTGGTGTATGGATCTGGGCAGGAAGGAGGATGGGATGTTGACGTTACAACAGGGCAGTCAGAGAAGAAGGTCTGAACTGGGTCTCTGACTTCCCAGCACAATGATGTAACCACCACAACACAGTAAGCCATGTTTCAGGCCCTTCCTATGTGATTATTTTGAAACTGGCCCCCTGGGCAGCTGCAAGATGGGGGTGATATGTGGAGTAAGGAAAAAGAGCACAAGCTAGAGCAGGGGCGGGCAATTATTTTGGGTGGAGGGCCGCTTTCTGAGTTTTGGCAAGCCATCGAGGCCCAGGGCAGATTAACATTAATTTTCTAAATTTTTTAGGAGCCCCGCGGGTCGGATAGAATGGCTTGGCGGGCCACATCCAGCCCGTGGGCTGCATTTTGCCCACCCCTGAGCTAGAGGATATTTGGCTAAATGAGGTAGCTGCTGACCTAGAAGACTGGAAACCCTTGTTCTTTCCTGAACCCTTCCTCCCAATGAGGCAGAAACTTCCCTCTTGCACTGGGCTCCACCCATTTTTTTCCAATAGCTGTGTTAGTGGCTCGGCTTGATAAGGAGCACCAGAGGAGGGACTGGATAATGGCTGACCTATGGCATGCATGGAGCACTGTGATAGGAAGTCAGAGACACCCAGGTTCAAACCCGCTCTGGGCAAGGGGGCCTAGAACCCAGGCCATCCAGCTTCCCAGGTGAGTGCCCAAGATACACATTTCTGCATTCCTGTGGCTAAGTCTGGTAGTCATGGGTCCTGGCCAACTCCAGTTCTGGACATCTAAGGCTGCTACACATCCACAGTGGCGTGACCCAGCTGTTACTGCACGTGCCCAGTCTTCGTCACTGCAGTCACACATCTTGTCTACCTGCATAGGTCTGCACATCCAGGAATAGAATGCCAGCCTGAGTTCAAGCAGCATTTTTGGCACTTAGACAGCCACGGTGCGAGCTTCCCACTGTGGGCTCAAGCTCCCCGCCCAGCTGCCCTCCTCTGGGGCTTCCACGGCCCAGTGGGTGAGACCCAGCATGGCAGGGCAGAGAGGGGCTGGGCAGAGAGTCTCGTGCCGCCTCTGGGAGTCTCACACCTGCATAGTGAGGTGCCCTGTGCCTGCCCAGCAGTAGCAAGGGTCACAACTCTGTGCCTCTGCTCCTGCTGCTGCCAGGCGAGCAGGAGGCACCTTGCCATGGCAGCATAGGGCTCATGTCAGTGGCACTGAACTTCCCCTCCTTGCTCTGCCCTGCTGCACTGGGTCCTGCCCACTGAGCTGCAGAGGCCCTGGGGGGAAGGACGGGGAGCCCCAAGCCCACAGGGGGCAGCCCACACCTGTCTCCGCGCCATGTACAAATCTGGGGGCCACATGCCCCCTCCTGGGAGTGCGCACAGTAGCACGGAGCCAGCTCCACCCCACAGACAAGCTGCCCTCGGCCCCATGCCGCTCCCTGCCAGGGCCCTGCAGCCGCACACGGCGGGAGCTGCTCTCCAGGCTGCCTAGCAGCCATGTGCATATGTGCATGTGCACATGCATGTGTTCTCCCCTGCCTGACCATCCTCCTCCTGCTCCCCCAGGCACATGCAGGCTGGAACTCTGCCAGTCTGTATGGAAAACCTACCATTTCCTGCGTTTTTCTCCTTTAAAGGAGAAAATCTGGGTTTTGCAGATGGAAAATTGGGATCACCGGTAATTACCATGGTTCTGCAGCCTCCCGCATCTCATGCATCAGTATCCCTGCACTTCAAAAGGGCGGTGGGAATGCTTGAACTAAAGCTTGTTGAACAAGCTTTAGTTCAAGCACCCCCACCACCATTTTGCAGCATGGGGGCCACTGATACACAAGACACTGTGTTGCTTTAATTAGAGCAGCTCTCAAACCCACTCTAATTGAAGCACCCCACCCCATGCCCAGAGCACATGTAAAAGTGCCCTAAGTTCCTGTCATCACTGTTGACATCTAAAGACCTTTGAAAATCTGGCCCTGTGACCAGGGCCATCACTGTCCCAGTTTCACAAGCACTGAAAGCATTCATAGATTGTAGAGTCGGAAGGGACCACAATGGATCGTCGTGTCCAACCCCCTGCCCCTGGCAGGAAAGAGGACCGAGGTCAGATGACCCTAGCCAGGTGACTATCTAGCCTCCTCTTGAAGACCTCCAAGCTAGATGATAGCACCACCTCTCTTGGCAGCCCGTTCCAGATCCTGGCCACCTTTACTGTGAAAAATTTCTTCCTAGTATCTAACCTAAATCCACTCTCAACTAGTTTACACCCACTATTCCTAGTCACTCCCTGGGGTGCCTTAGTAAACAGCGCTTCCCCTATTCCCCGTTGACCTCCCCTAATAAATTTATAGGCGGCCACACAAGATCTCCCCTCAGCCGTCTCTTGTGAAGGCTGAAGAGATTCAGCTCTCTCAACCTTCCCCCGCATTGTTCTACTTGTCTTTGGAAAAGAGAAGGAAGGGGTGCCCCATCCACAAAGGTGCTGCACAAACCACAAGCCAGTGACCTTGCTGCAGTTACTTACTGTGAGCGTGGATTGCTGCAAGTTATGTGGGTCATTGGGCCTTGTGGGCTCCCAGAAGGAGGAATGTTGGGCTAACATGGAGACATGCTCCAGGTGAAGGGAATGTTCCTGGCTGTTAATGGTGAACTGTGAGACTTCCCACTCATATTTACTGTCTCTTGTTTTCCTGTTCCCTGCAGGGCACAGCATACTATGTCCAGGTGACTGCTTACAACATGAAAGGTTGGGGACCCCCTCAGGCCTCGGTGCCACCCTTTGCAATCCCCTCAAGTAAGTAGAATCCCCGGGGAATGTGGAAACTGCTGACACTTGGGGCAGTTTTGCTGGGTCAGACCTTCCAGGTTGGCTGCGGAGCTTATAGTGTGATTCCCATTTATGCTTTGGACCACTCTGACAGCATGTGGGGTAGGGGTATTAATGCAGGCGCCAGCAACATTTACACTCACTGTAATGCTCTATACTTCAGGAGTTGCCTTTAGGTAAATGCATTACATCTTACTGGGCAAAGAGATGGAGATTAGGATCAGAAGCCTGCAGAGTGGAGCTTGGGACTGGCTAAAAACAAGAACAGAATCACAGTATAGAACCTAGGGTTGCATAGAGATGGGACTGGGGCAGGGACTGGTTGGAGTGAAGGAGGCAGAAGGTTGAAGGTTAAGGGAAATGAGAAACCTCTTTTTCAATTAACAGCTTTCCCAAGACTGATGTGGAACTCAGTTCTCTGAGTTTCACCATTCAACTGCCATCAGCAAACGTTGTTAAGCTATTAGTGATGCATCCCATCATCCCATTCTCCTAGAACAGGGGCAAGCAATTATTTTGGGCAGAGGGCCACTTACTGGGTTTTGGCAAGCCATTGAGGGCCTCATGACAGGCAGCCAGGGGCAGATAAGTATTCATTTTCTAAATTTTTTAGGGGCCCTGCGGGCCAGGTAGAATGGCCCAGCAGGCCACATTTTGCTCATCCCTGTCCTAGAATAATGGTTCATGGAGAGGATGGCCACCTATTTACTACCTCTACCTCTTTCAACTTTTCCAATAGCTCAATCGGTAGAGGTCTGTGATATGTCTATGAAGGCTCCAGCCCTGCTGATGACCTAATGTAGTGTCAATACGATGCAACACGATGGGATTGCTGTTGTTTGCTTTTAAAAGGATATTATACACAAAAATCTTTACCAAAAGAACAATACTAAAATTGCAAAGTCAAGCACTGAAAAATTAAGAGATGCCTACATTAAGACTGCCTATGCCACTGCAATTCTTTCCCTTGTGTATGCTTTGACACAGTTTTTTGTCTGGCCAGAACACTTTTGTGGCAGAAGTTGAAATGTGTGCCGTGAATGAGGCAGGGGACTGCAGGGACAGAGAACACAGATTCTGCAGTTGAATGTACCATCAAGAATTAATTTCTAGTTCAGTCTCTGCCAGAGATCCAGCATGAGATGAGGCAAGTCACTCAAGCTTCTCACCAGCAGCTGCAATGTGTGTGTTGCACAGTGTCTAGGTGCCTGACTGGAGACCTTGGGTTCTCATGTACAGACTTGTCAAGCAGTCATAATTGCAGTTAAAGAACAGTAACTGTACCATTGCCATATAAAGTGCCATAAAATGCTAACTGCTATGAAAAATCAGGGTCTTGGTGTCGCAATATGGGCACCAGAAATAACTGCATATTTTGACCTTGATCTCTGTCTCTCAGCTCTCTATCTGTAAAAAAAAAAGGGGATAATGCCTTTTTACCTCACAGGAGCGGTATGACAGTAAATTTATTAATATTTCTTAAGTACTCAGATACTGTTTTGAGAGCACCATAGAAAAGTCCAAGAAGGAATGACCAACTCTGTCCTTAGAACAGGGTTTGAATAGTGAGAGACATGAACCATGCTTTGATCACTGATGAGAACACAGCTCATTGAATAGCAGCTCATGAATTGGGCACAGGACATCCTGCACATTGAATGAGGCAGGGTTCCTGTGGAAATTTATTTGTGTATTTAAAGGCTTTATCATAATGCACAGGAACGAGGAGGCTGAATTAAGGTTGCATCAATAACACATTCTGTCTTGGTAGAGGGGTAGACTTAATGCAGCTGCATTAACATAGTTTTTGGCATGAACTGTATAATAATGCCTGTGTGTAAATATACAGAGAGTACTACATTTTGGGTCTGGATCTGGAAGTTTGTGTGCAATGTGGGTAGCCTGTGTAATACAGTATTGTGCATCAACATTGCTAATGTACATATAAATAATATATATATGGTGGGTCTATTCATGTTAAGATGGTTGTATACTGTTCTGGCTGTCAGTAGGAATAACAGTGATACTCATTTTAAAGCTCCTTTACAGTGCCAGAACGGTGTAATGCTGCCAAGGCATAAATTAGACTCTGGCCTGTTGAGTGTGTGTGTGTGTGTGTGTATGTATGCGTGTGTGTGTTTATTAGATCATATTGGTGCACATCAGTACATTGCCTATATGGAATCTAGTTGAAGCTGAGCATACTGTTTATTCAGTTTTTATCTTCTTTACCATTTCTCCCCTCCCTAAGAGTCAGTAACTTTCCCAGTATAATATAGTCAGGCACCTCCCAGGGTGTTTTTAAAGTGCCTAAAAATAGTGCCAAGTTGCAGCCAAAGTTAACAGAGCTGAACTTTCCATGGAAAACAGCAGCTTGCAGGGTAGGGGGTATTTTGACCTAGTAATGTAAAGCTAATGTAAAAGAGCTCTGAGCCCTGGTTCCCCTGTCTCAGTGCTTGGGTACCATGTAATCAGGTAGAGCTGGCACCTGAGTTGGTTAATTTACCTACATGAACTCTATTTTTGACACTAGCGTAAAGCAACTTCAGCTCCAGGAAAGTCCTGGAGAAAGACACTGGAAAGATTTGTCAAAGAATAGTGAAGAGCAACTGCAACAGACATGACTTGTTCTTTACCTTTATTTGTCATCTCCTCCTGCTGGCCACAGCTGTTAAATTCCATCTCCCTGGCTAGCAGTTACCACTGCTGGTTACTAACTGTTGGGTAGGTATTTGGCATAATGGTGCTGAGCATGGCCTTTCTCTCTCCTGAGCCTGAACTGAATGACCTAGAAGATCCAGAGCAACATACACACAGAGAGATCTGTGCCACCCCATGAAGAAGGACCTGGGATCACTCTCCAGGGCCACCTTCTTGTGCAGAGGACAGTGCAGGTGTGCCATAAGCTGCACAAAGGGGGCCACATGCTGAAGAGTCTGTCTGTCCCGTATCTTGCAAGAGAAAGGAGGTTTTTTGGTGGTGTGCTGTTACATCTCCACCTCTTTCTTTAATACTCTCTACTCTTAAAAAAATATCAGGCCAGAATCTCAGTGGGTAGGAGTGAGGCCACCAGTGAGGCCACCAGAACTGCCTCCTTGCCTATTGGTTGAGAATCCGCCCCTGCCAGATGCGCATCTGCTCCCAGCCAGTGAGCCACCCTTCCCCTGTAGTAGTCTGGCTTTCATCTTGGAAACCATGCCCCCTGGTCAGGGGCACAAATAGAGGTTGTTAGTTGAGCCCTCTTACCTGGAGAGGAGCTGGGTACAGCACTGGTCTAACGGCAGCTGTGTGGCAGCTGTTTGATGTGTGACATGAGTGGAGCAGAAGCAAGTGTTTCCACAGCAGTGCTCCCTAGTGCTGTGTACCATGATGTATAGAATCAAAGGACCAGGAGTGACCTGCAAGATGATTAAGTCTGGCCATGGGCAAGAGGTTATTGGGCTCAAATGAGGTCAACGAGGTGCTTAGCCAGCCTCCCCTTGAACACTTCCAAGGATGGTGACTGCACCACCTTTGCTGGGAGTGTGTTCCAGATTCTAGTTACCCCTACGGAAAGGAAGTTTTTTCTTATGTCTAGCTTTATAGGCTTGGCCCTGAGGCCTGGTGATAGAAGGCAGGTTTGAAAGTTGAAGGAAATAGTTGTTTCTGAAAGTAACAGTGAGGCAGGAAGGACCCCGAGGTAGAAGGGGTCAGATGAGGCTCCGTAAGCCTGAGGCAGGAGCAGGAGGACTGAGGTAATGGTTGATCTCCTTGCCCACAGACTGGCGTGAATATGATGGGAGAGCACCAAGACGAAGGGGACAGGCCGAAGCCTTGGACCATCTCCTCAGCCAGGTGAAGACAGTGCATCAGCACTGCGTCTGCCATGGTGAGTCTGGATCTGCAGAAAGGCATAGAGCAGAGCTTGAGGCCAGGCAGTCCCTGCTGGCTTGTAAAAACTGCTTCTAACAGTGAACTTGAAGTAACTCAGGGACAGGCAATTATTTTGGCCCGTGGGCTACATAGGCAGTTCTGGGGAGCTGCCATGGGCTGGTCGGCAGCCCCACCCCGCAACAGCCCAGAGCCCACACACCCTGCAGCTCCTCCACGCCACCGGCAACAATGCACAGCCCCAGCCCCAACTGCAACCCATCCTGGCCTTGCTTGGGACTCACCCTGGCCAGAGCGGACCAGCCAGAGACTGTGTGCAGAGCCCCAACCCATTCCACCCTGCACATGCTCTGGATCACCTGTCCATGCTGAGCAGCAGCAGTTGCCGGGCAGAAGCTGCTGCTCAGCATGGGGGAAAAGCGGCCTTCTCCTTCTCACCACTGCTAGGCCCTTCTTGCTGCAGCTGCCCAGAGCCTGTGCCTTGGCTGTCCTGTGGCTCATCTCTGCCGCTATCGTTGCCACCTCCAGGCCCCGCAGTGGGGCAGTGATGGCAGTGTAGAGGAGCCACAGTGCAGCTCCGGCGTGGGATTTGGGAGGCTGCAGCAAGAGCTCTCCTAGAGCCCAGGGACCCATCAGTGGCGAAGGGGTTGGGCCACTTTTTCGCCACCCTGAGCAGCAGCTTCTGCCCAGTCACTGCTGCTGTCACCGCTTCTCAGCATGATTCAATGAACTTGGAGTAGGCATGGGGTAGGGCTGTGCACGTGGGTTCTGGCTGGTCCACTCCACCAGACTCAGTCTGGATCAGGTGCGGGGCAGGCTGGGGCTGTGTGCACAGGTCCCCACTAGTACCATGGGGCTGGGGCCAACAGCAGCCGCTGCCACCTGTGCTGTGTAGAAGGGCAGTCCAGCTGCAGAGCCGCCCCAGCCCTGCTGCGTGCCCAGGGGGCAGTGGGACTTGCCATGGGCCAGATGGTGCCTGGGCCAGGCAGGACTGAGGGACCTGCTGTGGGCCGTACAAAGACCTTCCGTGGGCTGGATCTGGCCCACAGGCCATACTTTACCAACCTCTGGAGTTACTGGATATGACAGAAGCAAGTGGATAAAGTTGGCTGCTCGGTTTTTAAACTGAATAAATACAGCTGTCCCTCCTTACCTTGCATCCCTTCACTTGTGGCAGTATTGCTCTTGAATGTGTGAGGCATTTGAAAAGTTGTTTTATGGTAGGAAATTTTGCCCGTTCCCTTCCCTGACTGCTACAGCTTTCCTCACAAAAACCACCCTTGCAATCTAGCAGATTTGGCAGCCATCTCAAGTCACAGTTTGGGGACTGGGTTATCTACAGTGTCCTGTCTATGAAGGAGGCAGGCAGACAGACAGAGAGATCATGAAAATGCTCATGCCCAATGCTGGGAAACCTCCAAAAGTTCTGGGGTGTGAATAAGACCTAACTCCTCTGTCTTCTTGTCTTCTCAAATTTATTTGGGCTTGGAAATCTCAGCCTTCCTCTCTGTACCACAGAAGCTCTTCCAGTCTTCAAACTCCAACAGTTGCATGAGCAATTAGAAAGTTAGCAGCAAAGAAGGACTGGTAAGAGGCTATAGAGCCCTTTACCTGTAGGCAATAGGGCCAAATCCAGCACAGAAACAATGTGTGAAAGCTTCTACTACCCATGCATTGTACCCAGGTTTAGTTTGTAGGACTTTTACACCAGTATGTTCAGTGGCACTTGGCACTGTCAGCACTTGCATACTCTGGTGGTTGATGCTGTGTAGGTAACTTACCCACATCCCAGTTTAGTGTTCTGTATGTTCATCTGTTTGCCCAGAACCCTGCAAGAACCAGCCACAGAGCAGGAAGCACTCTGTCTCAAAGAGCCTTAAGCACCTCTTCCACCCTGGCAGCAAGTTCCTGAAGACACTGAAAAGGTAAGAAGGCAGGTCAACAGGGGTGCTAGGAGCTCGTCTCAATACTGCACAGTGTGCAGCCAGTATGGTCTCCCTGCATGTGACAGGAATAGCTATTAAACTTGGCCAACAGCCCATATTTTGAAGGGCTTTCTTACTCTTGGAGGAAATGGGCTTGTCCCTTGGAACAAGACAGTTTTCAAGGGAGTTGGCCTATGACTTGGGTAGGCTGAGCACTGAGCCACGGTAACAATAGACCATAGAAATTGCAGTGGCTTAGAAAGTTTGCCCTGGTTCTACAGACAAATGCCCTCCCTCCTGCCTTTGCTTTCCTGATTCTCTTACTCACTGCTCCCTGCATCCACTCCAAAGGACAGACCTTTCAGAAACTAACCCTTTCTCCAACAGTAAATCTGCCTCCTCTCTCCCCAAAGGGGCCTGTACCTGGCATCCATTTTTTACAAAGATGACAACATTCTAGTCACGCATGAAGATCAGATCCCTGTGGTGGAGATTGATGATACCTACTCTTGCCTGCTCATGCAGGACTTCCTTTGGTTCACCAAGGTAATGTGGTTGGGTACTCTGTCCTGCTAGTGTCTGCAGACCACCTTCGTTTGTACACGGGCCTAACTCACCATCACCATCAGTGGTGGATTTGAGGCTGGGTGCTGTTCACCCAGCAAATAAGCAAATTAGGCACCAGGTGTTGAAGCCAGACTTAGTATTGTGCCTTTTCTGTTAATAAGCATATGTAGTAGTACACATCATGCATTCACTCACCAAGAGCTCCTGGCAGCATGGGGCACTGATTCACATCTCACTGTGCTCATGCCAAGAATGGGGCAGGGAGTTGGTAAGAAGTGTCCTCAAATGCTGGTTTACTTTTGCATTTCAGCCCATTTAATTCATTCCCCAGGTGTGTTCATGTGCTTGGAGCGCTACAGTCTAGGAGCCTCTTCCACTCTGATTATAGGGTCATAGGAAAGTAGAGCTGGAAAGAACCTCACAAGATCATTTAGTCCAACCTTGCGCTCAAGGCAGGATCATCCCCAGCTAAACCAGCCCAGCCAAGTGTCAGTCCAACCTGCTCTTCAAAACTTCCAAGGATGGAGATTCCACAGTTTCTCCAAGTAGCTTGTTCTAATACTTGACCACCCTCATAGTCAGAAAGTTCCTCCTAATCTCCAACTTCAGTTTCCCCTGCTGAAGCTTGAGGCCATTACTTCTGTTGGTTTTACCAGTCTCTAGACCACAGCACACATCTGGTCCCTCAATATTGCCTTTTGAGGCATCTCAGCGATGCTGCTTGTATATGCTCTGCATAGTACGACATCAAGGAGAACTTGTTCCAGTGAGGTAGTCACAAGGCAGCAGCCCATTGACTTAACTTACACCAATACCATCCTTCTATGGGCAGCAGTAGGTCTTGTCTGGGGCAACAAAGCTCAAGAGCATATATTGTTTATAGCGCTTATCCCACTCCCTGTACTCATGGAGAAACCTCCTGAGAGGATGCTTTCACCACAGCCCAGGTGCTGATAAAATGCCTGAAGCCCAGGCCTTCATGTACAAAGGTTACAAGATATGATTGTAATGGGCAGCATGACCCTCTCTTATCTCCTTCCCGCTGCAAACTGTGTGCTACTAAGCACCATCTGTGCTGCTGGGGTTATGTACTTGCTTTTCTCTGTGGGGCTGTTCTGCCTCTTTTTCAGTAGGCCTGTGTTTAACTTTTTCACTGCTGCATTTTGCTGCAGCAGCAACAAAAGCCTCTGACAAAATTTATGCCTAAGACATGAGTAACTGGTTAATTATATCTTAAGTAGTGATCTGATCACATGTTTATTCAATTAATGGCATGATAAAATGAGGAATAAGCCACAAAGTTATTATGCAAAATATGTGTCCTAACTTTGCAGCTGGTTCCTGTCATGCCTTGAATTGAATGTGTGGCCAGTGCTCCCAGACCCTGGAGCACACTGGAGTCTTTAAAGACCCTTGTGCGTTCCAGAGGTTGGGAGCACCTGATCAGCTCATTGGAGCTCCCAGCCATGGGAGCCCATGGAGCCAAGCTTGCTACTTGCCAGTGCAGGGAGAGCCCAGGATCAGGTTCCCCCTGTACCAGCAATATGGAACAATGGGATGTGATGCTTGATCCCATAGTCACACCTCCTGCCAGGCACGTGTGGCCTGGCAGGAAGTGTAACTATTGGGATCCCACATCAGATCCTATCTTGCCTTCAATTTAATGTCATTCAGGCTCTAAGTGCCGGCATTGTTACACTCCCATGAAATCATACACAGCTGTAGGCAAAATATTTTTCTTAGATACTAGTTGTTAAAAGGGATGCTGCCCATGAGTTTAGGCCCCATATTTGATCTACTATACCATACAGTCCTTCTCATCTGGTGAGGAGCATCCTTTTGCATTTCTCTTATTTATGTTTAAAATTTTCTTGATCACAGAGGAATTGTAATGGACGACAACAATTATATGGGACCTACACAAATCCAATATTCTTCCCCTTGCACTCTACCTGCAAGCACTGTAGTTATCACTAGTACCAGTGTTGGGCCAATACTGTAAGTGGGAGTGGAATGAACTAAATCCCCACAATGATTTCAGAGAGGCTGAAATACACTTCAGAGCTTGTATCCCATAAACACACTGTGGAGGGTTGCACTGACTTGCACTGAATTATAGTAAGTGGACAACAAGCATGGCTGGAGGAAGGCTACACTATGGTAGGGGAGGAGCACCAGAAACTCAGTGCTGGCTGAACACCTAGTGTTTCTGATGAGGGGTTGAACACCTCACCTGGGTTGTAGGCATAGTGTGGAATCCTGGGTGGAGAGGGAGCTGCTGATGCCTTTGCTTGGTATGCTGCAGGTATCTTGCATGTGGGATGAGATCCTGTGGCTGCGTCAGTGCGTCACTGTCTCCCAGTCGTCCTGTTCCTGCATCTTGCAAACACGCTTCAAGATGCTGCTAGCCATCTCGCAGATGCAGGTGAGAGGATGGGTGGGTTTGATAGGCATAATCCAGGTCATCTTCCACCAAGGCACAGTCACCACGTAAATCCAGAAGTACCCTCAGGCAGATGTTCTGACCAGTGATTCACAGAGGTGCTGCCATGAGAAACCTCCCACCTCTTCCTGTCCCTGGAAAACGAGCACGGAGGGCTACAGGAGGGAACCTCCAGGATGATAACATAATGTCAGGAGCCACTGAGGGTGAAAGTTGAGTGACGATGACCCCAGGTCCCCATAACATTCCAGTGTAACAAGTGTCCCTACAGTCTCAGTGTCTGTTAGCTCCCAAGCTAAGTACCACAACTGGGTGATATAGGGAGATCTGCTGAACATAGAGGAAAAGGCACCACTCACAGCTCTGTGTCACTAGCAGAAGCAGATTTACTGCTTGCGGGCAAGAAGAGGTCCCTCATGTATATCCTTGGCTGCAACTTGTTGGGCAAAGGATATCCACAGTCTTCATCCCCCTCCTTTGCCTCCATATAGTATCTCAGCAGATGGAAGAGCTAGAATCCTGCTGAGCCAGTAGTGCTGCATAACACAGCTCTTTCTCTGCCACAGCTCTTTCTCTGCCATTTGTGTGTGTGTCTCTCTCTGCCTGTGAAGGGGCTGCTGGGAATCCAGGACCTGGGACAGGCCTTCTTTGAGCCAGTCAAAGACAAGCAAGGCAACATTCTGATCATGACCCTGAAGGAGGTGAAGACGAACCAGACGTTTGAGAGTGTCCGCTGGGTTCCCGTCTCCAAGCTGCAGGGCAGCCGCAAGTCTGTCTCCTCCCCTGAAGAACCTACAGCCCTGGACATATTACTGATCACAGTACAGGTGGCCATTTCTTACCAGAGGAAAGCTGGTTGGGTGGGAGAGGGATCCTGGGCATCCTTAGAACAGAATAAGGCTTGGGGGTCAGTCTGGGTTGTCCCACTCATGGGCACTTATGGCTGCTCCCCTCAATGTGGTATTTATTTCTCCAAGTACTTGTCTAGGCCCTTTTAATCCCTTTTGCTTCCCTTGGTTGTTTTTTTCCCAGCCTATTAGCAAATCCATGCAAGGAATTTCCCTTCCTTGACAGCCTTCCCTTTGTCTTTCTGCCATCTGATTTCTTGCATTGCCGCCTCTCTCCTTTCTCCTCCCTTCAGACCTGTGTCTATCTCAACAAGACCCACTCAAGCACCTGTACAAGGGGCTATTGAGGCTGCTTACACAAAGCCCTTGTAAATGCCAGCTGGGATTAGCGACAGGCCAACCACAAAGGGGCTGGTTCCGACGCTGTCTGAATCTGGGGGTGATTGCGGCATGGGGCTGGAAACCTGACAACAGGCTTCTTTGTGGGATTGCCAGTACTTCCTGCTCCCTGTGGGGCTGGAATGGCCAGAGGAGTGGCTAGGCTCCCAGGGCTTTGGTCCTGGCAGGAGGCTGGAAGTGCAGATGAAATAACTGAACGGAACTCATTCAGACTGCAAAAGCCATTCAGTTTGAGTTGAGCTATGTTCTGGGTTGGTTCCCTCCTCCATAGCTAGGGCTTGAGTAGTGCAGGGATTCTTCCTTAAAACCTGGACAGCCCTGCCACTGTCTCTGCCAATTATGTTCCAGTAGCTAGAGCAAGAGCAGGAAAGAGAGTATGTGCAAGTCCCGCTGTGAGGGTGGTATGTATAGATCTCTCCTTTCTCCTCAGGACAAGCTGGCTTACCATCAGAGAAGCAGCCAGGCCCTTGCCCCAGGTCTCTACCTGGGCTACCTAAAGCTCTGCAGCGCTGTGGACCAGATCCGTGTGCTAGTGCCCGACCGGTTGCCCAACATCCTGTGCCATGTGAAGATACGGTCTAATTCCAATATCTCCAGGTGAGTCTGGTGGAGCACGTGAAGTCAGGAGTAGCTTAATGTGAGCACCCAAGATCAGTTCTCTAACCCAACCCAAAACCCACCCACCTTTGCTGTCTGCCTCTTCTGTTCTAACATTCCTAGAATTAGCTTTACACTGTTCTCCAAACCCAGGCAGTTGCTATGCTGGGCATCTGATATGAAGGATCAAAACCCAGAAGCTTTGCTAGGTTTGACTGAACCATAGTCCAGTGCTCTCCTCTCTATTGCTGTTCCACCAGGGAGCAGGCTGTTAGACAGGGGATCCTGGTTCCTAGTATTTAGAGGAAACACCCTCCTAATGCGTCCGGTCTGACATGCATTCATGAGCCATGATGGATGATGAATCTCTCTCTTCTCTGTGTGTTTGTGTCTGTCCTTCTCCAGGGAGGAGTGGGAGTGGCTGCAGAACCTGGCCAGTGCAGAGGAATCCATTCCCACAGAGCCAGAGTCTGAGACTTCCCAGAACCTCTTGTATCAAGAGCTCCAAGTGGCCATTAAGGAGCTGATGAACCTGGTCAACATCCCACTGCAAGAGGTAGCAGTGGCAGATGAGGAGTGCGGGGAGGAATGAATGGAGCTGTGGCCTGTACAGCCCTGTGGCCAGTGCCGTGGCAGGTGGCCTAGTGCACCCACTTGAGGCAGGGTAGTTCTCTGTCTCCTGGCTTACTGGTCACTGGTTAGCTGGGTCACTAAGTTAGCTGGTTCACTAAGAGCTACAAACACATTTCTCTTTGCTTCTACCCCAGAGACAAAGCTGTTCCTAGGAACTGCTTTCAGAGTGTGGCACTTGTTCTGTCACTACCTTTTACCCAAAACACGGGTTCTGTGCTTTCATGTGTAATATGACCTGGCTGCGCACTCAGGTGTTTTGTTTAATTGTTTTGCTTCTACAATTAACCTCTGTGAGAGACCAGGATTCTTTCTGCCTCTTAGAAATAACCAGCTTCCCAACCAGCCTCTTATTGGAGCTGAGATTCACTGACACAAAGAAGCCAATTGCTTCATAGTTTCATAGTAGGTAGGGTCGGACAGGACCTGAGCAGATCATCAAGTCCGACCCCCTACCATGGGCAGAAAAGGATGCTGGGGTCAAACAACCTGGCTAGGTGATTATCCACCCTTCTTTTGAAGACCCCCAGGGTAGGAGCAAGCACCACTTCCCTTGGAAGTTGGTTCCAGATCCTAGCTGCCCTGACTGTGAAGTAGTGCCTCCTGATGTCTAGCCTGAATCTACTCTCTGTCAACTTATGGCCGTTATTCTTTGTTACTTCCGGTAGTGCTTGGGGGAACAGGGACTCTCCCATTGCCTGCTGGTCCCCCTTGGCCAGTTTATAGATGGCCACCAGATCCCCTCTCAGCCTTCTCTTGTGGAGGCTGAACAGGTTCAGGGCCCGTAGCCTCCTCGTAGGGCCTGTCCTGCTGCCCCCTGATCATGTGAGTGGCCCTCCTTTGATCCCTCTCAATGCTGGCCACATCCCTCCTGAAGTGCAGCGCCCAGAACTGGATGCAGTACTCCAACTGTGGCCTGACCAATGTCTCATAGAGGGGGAGGATCACCTCCTTGGACCTGCTCATGATGCATCTGTGGATGTATGACAAGGTGCGGTTAGCCTTCCTGACCGCATCCTCACATTGGCGGCCCACGTTCATCTTGGAATCAATGACTCCAAGATCTTTTTCTGCCTCTGTGCTGATGAGAAGGGAGTTCCCCAGCCTGTAGATATGCTGCTGGTTCT